ATACACACACACACAGAATAAGAAGTAAATTTTTAACTATTTATTAAAAATGTGCTAATTTCAGTTTCTATTAGTTTTCTATTTAATTGTTAATAATTTTATTTCAATTATTATTTTAATACAATTTAGACAAAATTAAATGAGAAAAGTTTAAGTTTTTATTTTATTTAAGTTAATGTTTATTTTATTTACAATATTTTTTATGGTTCTAGATATTAAAATATTATATAAAATATTTTATATAAAAAATAAAATATATTGCATAAAAATAATGGACCATGAAATGCCACAAAAGACGAATCAAGTATTTGAGTTTATAGGTTATGACTGTGTTGTGATCTGTGTCTCGTACCCGGATCTCCTGCAGGTTGTGGAAGTTGTTTCCCACTCTGACCGAGATCTTGCTGGGAGTGTAGCTCTCATCCGATTTATAATCGGCATAAATACACAGCATTTTCACCGTTGTTTTTCTCCTAACAGGACACAACAGAGAGGAAACATCGTCTGATTCAAATACATTTACTGTATATTTAGTCATTTAGCAGATGCTTTTATCCAAAACGACTTACAAATGAGGACAATGGAAGCATTCAAAATCAACAAAAGAGCAATGATATGCAAGTGCTATAACAAGTCTCAGCTTAACGCAGTACACATAGCAAGGTTTTTTTTTATTACATTTTTTATATAAATACAACATATATAGTTTGTGAAAAGTGCTCATTATAATATTCATCATGAAACAACTTTACTGTTTTCTAAATATAATAGAGTATGCACGACTTGTAACTAAAAATGTAATGTAAAGAGTGTCTGATATGTTTTTTAGTGGCTGATGAACATCTAGAGAGCAGGATGGTTGCTAGACATAATGCTTTTATATATTTACATTTAAAGGGGTCATATGATGCGATTTCAAGTTTTCCTTTCTCTTTGGAGTGTTACAAGCTGAGCAATAGAAGCAATCAGACGAACGAGAGAGCAACGGTATACAAGTGCTGTGACAAGTCTCAGTTAGTCTAGCACAGTACACATAGCTAGTTTTTTTTTAATAGAATTGAATAGAATAGAATAGAATTGGTAAGTGCTAGTATTAGTTTTTCAGGTGCTGGCGATATGATTATTATATGGTTATTATACTTATATGGTTATTATTATATTATTATATGGTTATTATTATATATATGATATAATAACCAAGTCTAATAATAATCAATGAGAGGTACATAAAAAAAAAACCTGTGTTCAATCAAGTACTTTAGTAAAGTACTCAAAAAATATATCTATTGATCAGTGCATTTTCATGGTCTTTAGAGTTAATTTATTACTGAATAAGGATTTAAAAAATATATTTCAGACACACAACCTAAATAATTTAATCAGTTAAATATTTGAGTGTTCTATAAATACTATAAATATATATATTTTTTTAATTCCTCAAACTTATAATAATTTTCCACTTTTCTAGGACTTTAAATTTTTATTAAGTTAATAATATATTATGTATAGATATATGAATTAATATATACTATATATAACATTTGCAAATGTGAAAATAAAATGTTAAAATAAGAGAAAAATCTTCCTTCATCATTCAGCATAAAATACAAAAAAAAAAATACTTTAATTTTTTTAATTTTATTTTATTACATTTAAAATGTTTAAAACCTGTCGCTGACAAATGAGGAAAACCTAGTGGTTTGAAGGATGGTGTCAGTTAATTAATTTTTGGGCCTGCAATGTGATTCCTAAATATAGTCTTTTAATGTCATCTAATGATTCTTAAATATGGCTGACGCAATTTGTAACTATTGTTAAACTGAATAACATTTTAGTGGGTGTATTCTGTAAATCATGGTAAAGATGTATGTCATTATCATTATATAGTTATATTTTACTCAGAAAAAATAAAATTAAACAGGACACATTCTAATGTACGGGGAAAATTATTGTTTTGATGCTTGGAGTATATATATATATATATATATATACACACACATATATATATATATATATAGTCATGTAACGTTAATATGAACATGGTTAAGAAAACTCAACTGTAAGGCGTATTTATACACATATCTCACAGTACCATGACAAATATACCTTACCACATAATAAACACATTTTCAAATGTAAAAACGACTAGAAGATTTAATTTTACAATAACACAAGGTAGTTTAATCAAAAACAGCTAACGTTACCGTTAATCTTTATAGCAAAACAAAACGCAGTCACTCACCGGCACTGAAAAACACTCGCACAACAGTGTCTTCTTACTTCTGTTTCCACAGCTAACATAAATGTAGCATCATTTTCTTAAAAAGGGGGTAAAATACAACCGTAAACACCCTAACGCTGTTCGCATTTGCCCGGCATTGGCGCGCTCTGAATGCGTCAGGCGCTTTTCGATCGCGTCGCGTCGCTTTTGCGTCACGCGTTCTGGCGCCATCTTTGCTACCGGTGCTGCGCCGGAGCAGCTCGCGCTGTTCATCTCTTCTTCACACAGAAATAAGACATTCTCCGCTTATTAACGCGTTATACTGCGTTGTTCCCATCAGCGGGAGGTGAGCGGTGTTTTATAATAATTAAACAGACGCTGACAGGTATTTTGACAGACAAAAAGCGCATCGTCTCGCGCGAGGCCTCTTCTGTTTACATTTAAATGCCCCCCGTTTCCACTAAAATCAAATGAACGTCGCTCTAAACGGAGTGTTTCAGAAAGATTGAGTGAAATAATGTTTTGGTTTTGGGGTGAAATAAAGGGGGAACGTCTCTGAGGTAAATTCTTGCGTCATCGTTATTCCCATGGGCGCGCGAAAAGGCTCCACGTGTTCAATATGATTAAATCTGTCAATCTAAAATGATTTATAACTGTTTTAAATTTAACTCTGAATGTAATATTCGTAGACAATGTATAAACAATGGTTGTCTATTTGGGAGTGGTCTGATCCAATTGGTTCGGAATGTGTGGTTTATTGATTGTTAATGTGGTCTGGCAATTGAAAGGTTGCAGGTTCGAATCTCATTTAAAGGTTTGTGGACTATTACTATTTATTGAGTGCTTGATTAAGACAGTAAAACTCAGGATACTCTAGTGCTGTCAAACGATTAATCGCGATCAATCGCATCCAAAATAAAAAGCTTTTGTTTACGTGTATGTGTGTTGTGTATATTTATTTCGTATATATAAATACACACGTACAGTATACATTTTTACATATTTACATGTTTATACATTTATATATAAATTTTCTTACATTTTATATTATATACAAATATATAAACATAACATATTTTTCTTAAAGGGGTCATATGATGTTGCTAAAAAGAACATTATTTTGTGTATTTGGTGTAATGAAATGTGTTTATGCGGTTTAAAGTTAAAAAACACATTATTTTCCACATACTGTACATTATTGTTTCTCCTCTATGCCCCGCCTTTCTGAAACGCGTCAATTTTTACAAAGCTCATCGGTCTGAAAAAGCGAGGTGAGCTGTGATTGGCCAGCTATCCAATGCGTTGCTCTTAACTTTTATAAAGAATATCTCTTTGGATTTGAGACTTTAGTCTTTGCAACTTTACAGATCTTCTTTATGCACCAAGAGCTTGTAACACTTCAAAGAGAAAGGAAAAATTGAAATCGCATCATATGACCCCTTTAAATGTATACATGCATGTGTATTTATATATACATAATAAATATACACCATATACACATTATGTAAACAAAAACTTTTATTTTGGATGCGATTAATCGTTATTAATCGTTTGACAGCACTAGGATACTCCAGCAGGACTGTAACAAGTGCACAATGAGTCACGTTACTTGAAAGCATTTGATAAATGACTAATTGGTAATTAAATGACTAATATATGCGCTCAGTAGGATGACAGTGTAGTGTTTGCATGTTTAAACGAGTTGTCACGTGATGCCAGTGCTGCACTGTCAAATATGGCAACTCCGCAACCTCATTCATCCAGATAGTGAGCTGTCTGACTGACTCTGACTCAGTAAACCACCTAACCAGACCAGGTTTTGAGATGGTTTTGCTCTCCAGACCAGTGGTGGCTCGTCGGTGGAGGCAGGGGAGGCACAGCTTCCCCAAACTTTTTAGGTGAAAATGGGAGGAGGACGATTTAATGTTAATAAAATTTACTAAAATTCATTTCAGTTCATGTCTCGGAATGTGTATTTTTTTTGTTTGTAATTTCACAGCTGTAATACCGTAACATGTTACTGAAGTTGGAAAGCGCCGCTACATTACAACCGCTGGGGGAGAGCTGAGCTCTCATGCCTCCGTTGATATAAAAAAATTAGCCAATCAGCATCGAGTGTTCACTTTCAGCGCTGAGGAGTGTTGAGAAAAGAAACCTCGTAAGGGAGGCTAGCCTCCCTTCTGATATCAACCAATCATCACAGAGACGTAAATTACGTGATATTAGTTTGAACTTCTGCCGCTGCGCTGATAATGTACCAAGTACTTATGATGAGTAGCGATATTGAATAGGCTATTTGATCGCCAACAGATTTACCAAGCTGTCATTCAAACAGTATATATACAAATTTAGGGAAAACAGCCTAAGCTGGATATAGGCTACAGCAGCAGCAGTCGGCTTAATTAAATGGCGCAACAGGCAGCTCTCTTTTAACACAGACTTTTAAGAAGGGATGGATGTTTGCTTCAAGTGATAGGCCAGGTAAGTGAAATTATATTATTTTGCTGTATGTATGTCGTTTTCTTTACGTTTTCTGACTAAAAGCAACCAAAAAGCCATTTAAAGTGGTTAAGCAAATAATATAATAATAATAATAATCGGCAGGGATCCCAGACCAATACAATTA